TGGAGGATTGCACGTCCCAGGCCCGGCGCAGGGACAGTTCCGCAGGACCTGCCGCTCCCCCTGTTGATGTCACACAGAGTTGCAAGTGCTCCACAGCCCAGAGCGCCGGACCCAAACCGTCCCTGGCTGAACCCAAAAACCCAAGCGCCCGCAAAAGTGGTGGCTGCTTTCAAGGGCGTTCAGCTGGAGCTGCCAAAGGCACAGAGCAGACCTGTGCTGGCACCACGCCACCAAAATGTTCACGCTTCCCTTCTTTCTGTGTTTTCATTTTGCAGTAAGAAGGGGAGTAATGCATATGTGAGCAGGAGGGATCCTCAGGGAACAAGCCACAGAGCCCAGGTCGCATGCAGGCAGCCCAGCCTCCATGCCTGCTTTTTCCATAAGTTTTAAGGAAATAGACATCCTCCAAAGAATTGTTCCTATTCCATCAAATCAGCAAGATTTTCTTCCCCAGTGGAAAGTTTCTATCAGATATTTAGCAACCAGCTCTTTCTCTGACCTATTTGCAAGCCCCAAGCCACTCTCCACCACCCACTACTTGAAAGCTTTGATAATTCAATGAGATGTTAATTCTGACATCCAGCATAACTCTCAATACAAAAACTTCTCTCTTTTTTTTCTTTAATTATCATTAATTGCAATCCAGGAGTAATGAATCCTCTGTGCAGACTTTGCATTCCAAGCACCCAGCAGCATTTTGCCACACAACTCCCATTAAGTCAACGTGTACTAAGTAGGTTCTGACAGCTCTGTGTGCTCCAGGGTGGGCAAAGCTCAGAAAAGACAAGGCAGCACAACTCTGCTCTGGGGACTGAGGCACAAGGCTGAGTCCAGCCTGGTCAACACCTGGAGGTGTCAGCACACATGTGCTTAAAACACACTGCAAAAGGGCACCGTCACTGCTGAGAACATCAGGATTATCTTTTAGGGAAAAATTCTGCTCTAAATGCAGAGGATTGTCAGTGAGATCCCATGTGCCTTATCAGGGCACATGGCCTGTGAGACTGAGCCACACACAGTGCTGGAAATTTCTCCACCTTCATTCAAGAGCTCAGCTCAGTGGGTTTTTGCAGGGCTTGCCCCTGAGCAAGGTGCCCTCCACTCTCTTTGCAGTGCCCTGTCAGGCATTGCCCTGATTCAAGGCAGATCAATATATTCTTTAGGCTGCACTTCTTCCATGAATATTTTCATTATTCCATTGCATATTTATCATTTATTTAAATCATCAAATAAAGAGATTCCAAAAGATTGGAAGTTTAAATCCCCAGGAGCATCTCTACAAACCTGGTCATGAGACACAGGAACTGATTTAAAGCATGAGCAGAAGCCTTGGCTTTATTTTCCCTGCTGGAACCAAGTAAACAGCATGTATGTTGGAAAACAAATAATTTTTACAAATCTTTCTGTTTTCATGACCAAGCCAAAAATAGCAACAAGAAGGTGATAGTTAAGAGTGCAGAACTCCCTATCTTCATCTCTTCCTTTATCTATTTTAAAAACAAAACACCTTCTCTGTGGTTGCTTTGGAGCAGCAGCCTTGCCTGAGCTGAGCGCACGAATTGCCTACATTTATCCTCTGATTTGAATATAAATGAAAGCAAAGTGAGTTAAAAACAGAGCCTGGGGAGTTGTCTCTGCAGGCCTACAGCTGCTGGTGGCAGGACTGGGTGGGCAGAGCCTCGCCTTGGTGTGCAGGAGGAGCATCCACAGCATCACCGAGCTCCCAAAGGTGACAAATCCCTCCTTCACTGGGTCCAGCTCCCTCACACACTGGGCTCACAGGGAATTTGCCCTTGTCCATGTCTCTGAAACAATGATGTGGCTTTAAAGGTGAGCCCAGGAGAGCCCTGTCACCGAGCCCTGAGCATCCCTCCCTCCATCTCCCTGCAAATCCACCCAGGAGGAGCCTTGGATCCCAGGTGTGGATGAGAAGGGACACACCTTTGCCCTGGCCATGAGCCCCCTGCAGCCTCACACACCTTTTTATCTGCACAAAGCACTGCAGGGATGAATCAGGGAACAGTTGTTGTCCTTGTTGCAACTTCCCAGACAGCAGCCAAAGTCCCAGCCCTGGTGGATGGGGCTGCAAACGCTGTGTTCTGCAGCCACCACCACTCCTACATGAGCATAAACAAACCCGGCACTGGCACAGGTCTGCTGCCACCTCACATCAATGCAATCAGCTGCCAGACCACCCTCTCTTGCCAGGGGACATCAGCAGGACACAGGAGGGGTGTGTGGACACTAACAGGTCCCAGTTCTACACAGACTTAAAGAGCAGCTTAACTTTAAACATTCACACAAATTTAAAGCTAAGCTCCTTTCCACATCAAAAGCATCCTACAAATGCAAAACACAGAATAAATTTGGTGATATATATATATGTTTATTGCTGTTCTCTGGGAGAGTGGATCAGAAGAGCTGAGCAGGGAGGGTCAGGCTCTGCACTGCTCAGAGTGCTTGGGAAGTACAATTTCTCTTCCACAGGAAATTGTGGCACTTTCAGATGTGTTTTCACGTCCAAATCCTCTTGTCCATCCCAAATTTGCTGGAGAAGGCTTTCAGAGGTGTCGATGGGGAAGGATTCCTTTGCTGTGATGTGGAAAGGTGCTGTGGATGCCACTGGAGCCCAGCACTGCCAGGGTGCAGCCAGGAACCAGCAGCTCACACACGTGGAAGATTAAAATGGCATCAATTTGAGTGGTAATGTCAAAACTAAACTGAACAATTTGTTGAAATTAAATGCTTTGGAAGAAAAAATTATCCTCTGAAGGTCAAAATGAATGGTTCAGATTTCTTTTCCCATCAATAGTTTCCTACATGTTCCCACAAAATGGGTTGATTTCAGCAAAGCTGCGCTTGCCAATAAAGATCATTTCCACTGAAACCCTTTCTATCCTTCCTGCTGCCAAAAGAGCTCTGCCTGCAGCTGAGCACCCCACAGATCTACAAGTGGGGCGTATTTCCTTTCCAGTGCAGCCCCCAGCATTGTCCTGGACCCTTCTCCCCAGTCCCTGGCTCTGGGGACAGTGGGATTTGGAAGGGCATTCCTCCATGGCAGGTGGTTTCTGCTCCCCTTTTTATTCCTGATTATTTCTGTAAATGTGTGTCACAGAACAGGGACAGCCCTGACACTCGGTAGGAGGAGAGGAGCATCCCTTCAAAGAAGATTTAGAAAAGCGGTGTGGGAAGGGTTTCTGTAGTGCTCATCTACGGAAGAGAGCAGCAAATCCTCTCCTCTGATGGCAGATCTGAAGGCAATCCTTGAGTGTGAAACACTGAGCTACCAGTGATTATACCATTCCTTTGAAAAGGGGCTTTTCTTCCAGATCCTTTTCACAAATCTCCTGCTATTACCCACCCTAAAGCTCTGTTAACACTTTCAATCTCTCGCTTTCTGCCACAGACAGACATTTCGCCTTTCACTCACTTTCACTCAGGTTTTTTTTTCACTGAGTGCATGTTATTATTTGGGACATGAGGAGGGAGGGATTAGGGATTGAGAAGCCTGTCCAAATTAGACAGGCTATCAGCTGTTCCCACATTGCCTAAGGCAGGGGACTGACCACACCGAGCCAGGTGCTGTCCTCAGAGCCCAAGCACTCAAGGGATTTGATTCTTTCCAGGTTTTTGTTTCAATGATTCCCCAGGAGGCTCCAGCAAGGCTGGGGCTCATCCTGACTCCCGGCAGTGACCAGTGCTGGAGCATCACACAAACAGCAGGGCTGGGGGACACGGCTGGAGCTGGGAAATAAAACCCAGCCAAGAACAGTGTTGGGACAACACGCCTGACAGTGTTTGACCTTTGCAGGTGCCAAGCCCTTTAACCCCTGAATAATTAGGAAAGTGTCAGTGTGAAGGCAGGACACAAGGTCCTTGATATGCCCAGAGGTGCAGATGGGACATTGAGTGGCCACTTGGGCTCTAACACTGGACAATCCATCAGCCAACAAACCAAAACCTTTTATTTCTGCTTCTCCACCAAGTGCTGGGGCCTGAACTTCCCTGCTGCAATGAGAACCCATAACCTGGCACCAGCACAGCCCAAAATCCAACTGCTCCCAGCTGCTGGGAGCAGGGTGGGAGTGAGGAGCCTGAGAGGAGGCAGGGGCTCGGCTGAGCCAGTGGGAACAGGGCCAGGAACAGCAGCACAGGGGAAGGAGCTTCCATTGTCCAGGACAAAGGACCAGATGTGCACCCAGGGTAGGGACAATCCCACCCTCCCACAGCCAGATCTGCTGTGTGCACTCAGAAGGGCCTCAAGGCTGGCACTGGGACTGTGTTCTACACCAGCACAGCTAAACCCCTTCTCCAGCTCATGTCATTAATTCAGGACAGCAACTCATCCTCCCACTCCCAGAGGTTATTCTGACTGACCATACCTGGCCAGCTGCTCCACACCTGCAGGTATCTGGGTCAAGGGAGTTGCTCTTCCTTATCTCTGATTTTTTTTTTTTTTTTCCTTAAAAGTCAGTTAGTAAAATGGATGCCATGAGGGATTTTTTTGCCTTTCTTTTCATCCTTGCTCCTGAGTTAACATTCTTCATTAGTCCTGCTCAGCAAACTGGTGAATGAGCCCAAAAATATGTGCTAGTGCATCTTTTGGGATGCCACTGCAATGCTGAGTGTATCCACACAATCATTTCACCCCAATAATCTCCACATTTAGCTGCAGCCATTCTGTGCTAACTTGTGCCTTTAGCTAACACAGGTCTTTGAGAAAAGCTCTCAGTCTTCATTTTCCAACACTGAGACTGAAGAAAACCACTCTTTTCCTTTGAATTTGTTCCAAAACGTTGGACCTGTTGGGTTTTTTTTTTAAACAATGAAGGTGATTAATTTCCAGTTTGATTTCATCTGGCTCTTGCTTCCAGCCATCCGTGGTTTTTCCCCTGCTAAATTACACATCCTGCAATGCCCTTTCTTTTCTCTCTCTGAAGGTATTTATACACTGTCATCAAGTCACCTCTCAACCTCTTTTTTTTTAATAATGCAAACAGATGGAGGTCTTTAAGTTCTCTCCCCTGTAAAACTGTTTCTCCAGTCTTTCAATCATTTTTGTAGCTCTTTTCAACACTCTCCAACACCCTCTCTTAAATGCAGACACCTGAACTGGATGCAAAATTCCTGAATCAGTCTCCCCAGCCCCACACAAAGGTAAAATCCTCTCCCAGCACCTCCTCACTGTTTCCCCTCTCACACATTTCAGAATCTTATTCAATCTTTTGCCTAAAACACCACACATTGCCAGGAAGCTTCCACTGAGCTGCTGCTCCACTACAGCCCTGGCTTGACTCCTTCTACAGAACCAAAGCAGCCAAAGCACCCCCTGTGCTGAGCCTGGAGCTCCTTCTTCTTTCCTAAGTCTTCCTCCCTAAACTGCTCCAATTTCTCATGCCACAACAGCATCTTTTGGACTTTTACTGTAAATGCCTGGTTTTCTAAACACTGGACACTGAACCTGGGAAAAGGGAGATTTTTCTTGCATCAGACATTGTAATTTCCCTGTTTTCTCTTTTTGCCTGTTCCCTGTCATCACCACTCCTGGGTTTTGGTGCTCCAGGCTGGCAGACATCCATCCACAACTGGGCTCAAATCTGAGGACCCTTGCAGAGCAGAGGATGGGGCCAGCTGGCCACAGCTGGCTCGTACCCAGGTGCCACATGAGCTGACACCCTGACCGTGTGACAGCTCTGGGGAGCAGGGCTGGCAGCCAGGGTAGCCCCAGCCTTGTGCCATTTCCCTGGCCAGGTTTCACAACACATCAGCACTGATAAAAGGGGCAGATTTGAAGCACAGGCACCCGGTGTGGCCAAACTCTTCTGGGCAATGTAGTTGCCAACATCACACCCAGGGCTCCTGAGAGCTCAGACATCTGAAATTTCTCTCCTCCCAGCCCTTTCCTGCCCTGGTTCAGCATTGCAGCTACTTTTCCATCTGGGAACAGCTGCCTGTCAGCACCCTCTGGGGTGCAGCATGGTCACTTACAAGCAGTGTTATGGGGCAGTTTTACAGGAATTTAAATAACATCTGGGGGGAAAAAAAGCTTCTGCTAGCAATTGCCCCCTCTCTAACCAGCAGGTGATTTCTCTGTGGCAAACACCGCTTTAGTGGGAGGAAGATCAGCAGCTGGGGTGGGGTTTTTCCACGGGGAAGCAGCTAAATTTGGGGAAGCAATGCGGGCTTGCCCTGGGGCCATCCCTGGTGAGGCAGAGATGCAGCTGCCGACCGCTGCATGTCAGTGTTGCTCCACACAGCCCGTCCAGCTGTGCAACATCTGCCGCCCTCCGCAGCGGCTCTGCTGCACCCACAGCACCGTGGGTTTGCAGGAATGGGCTGTAGGGACACGATGTGACAGCACAGAGGGGACTGGTGTGGCCCTCCTTGTGTGGCACGATGGGGCAATGGCACCCAGCTCCTCCCCAGGGCTCAGGTCAGAATTGCATCCCTGTGCCAGGGAGAGGTGCCAGGCCAGCAAGTTCCTGCAGGCTGCAGCAGGAACACTTCTCATCCCCTTCTGAGCCCCAGGCAACACACAGCACCCCCCAAAAATCCCAACACAGCACCTGGCACGGCTGCAAGTACAAAGGGTTACCTAACATTCCCACTCCTGCTTTGCACAGGTTCAGAAGTCAAAGCCATGCAATGCTGTGCTCTGGACATTGCCCTCATTCCCTGGCACTGTGCTGTGCTGCTGTATCACTGGTGTCACCCATGGAATGGCAGTGCCAGGGCCTGTGGTGAATAGTTTTTGCCAGGGTCAGCAGTGTGGGGAGTTCAACCCTCCCCACCAGTCTCATGGAGCTCCCTCTGAATTCAAAAATAATGAATTAAAAAATAATGAATTCAAAAATAATGAATTCAATAATAATGCTCTTGACTCCTCCCCCATTCCCTCCAAGTCCTGCTGTAGAAGAAATCTGCAATATGGAGCCTGGATTTTCCATTGCCTTGGTAACATATTGTATCCATCACCTCAAAGAAATCTCTGCTAAAGGTGTGTGGGAAAAGGTGAAAAGTGCTGTGGCCACTGGAGGGAACACATTGTCCTGGGAACTCACAGACTTCCCACCTGCAGAATCAGGTCTGGGATTAACCACACAGGTGCCAGGGTGGACCTGTGGTTTCAAGAAAAAGGAAACAAAAGATAATAATTTTACTCTGATTTAATGGAGTAACAGTACTGATGGTGCCCCATGCCAGGTTAGAAGGGGGCTGGATTTATGAAGTGGAAATTCAGCTGTCCAGAGGTGAACAAAGCTCTTGTTGACTTTGGGGGCAGAGGGAGGTGTTGAATTCAAAGGCTGCAGATTTGTTGGCTTCATGCCCAAGTCCTGCAATCAGCCAGCAAAGCTTGTCCAGGTGTTTCACCAGGAATGAAGTGAGTTCCCTCTTCATTCAGAAGATCCAATGCTGGGCTCTGGAAGAGAGGGTCCAGATCACTAACATTTCCCTGTGCTTCATTTCCTGGCCTTCAAAAATGGAGAGGTGGGAGACTTTCCAGCCTTACAATGAGGTCCAGAGGATTTATTTGTCAAAGTTCTCAGAGCTAGCATTTCTCTAATACCTGCCCCAAAGGGACACCTCTGGGAATTGAGGGGAATGACCAGGAGCTACCAGCTCAATAGCATTGGAGGCTTTTCATGTACAAGCTTAGTGTTAGCATTCCAGCTTGTTGCACAGCACCTTTTGTTGCAGAGGAAGTCCAGCAGCTGGCATGGACACTGCCTGAGAGTGTCCTGGTACCCATCACCCTCTGAGTCACACACACACTGCTGCAGTGGGGTTAATCAGCACTTCTTTTATTTCAAAACCATTTGCTGGAGCAGTATCCACAAAGCACTGCTGTGCTCCGGGGAGATGACAGGCCAAAGCCTGGCTCACTGCAGCCTGAACCCAACAGGGAGCCATCAAGCTGGAGCTGTGAAAGCAGCAGAAATTCGTGACCCTGTGCTGCTCAGCCCAAGAGGCTCCATGACCCACGAGGGAGGCTCTGGGGCAGATTACTCACACCACAAGTATGAGAGCAGGAAAGGATGAGCATGTAGGGCTGCACTGCTGAGCCACAGGCTGAGGCAGAGCCATGCAGAGCCCATGGAGATGCTGGGAGAGCCCCCAGTGTGGTCACTGCACTGCA